GTCAGGGTGTCCCCCTAAGCGAAAGGGCCAGAGGTGAGTATCCGTGCAAAGCTCAGCCCAGAACCGGGGCGGGGGGAGCACTGTTTTCTGGAGAGAGCAGTCCATGGCTGGGACGGGGGGGGAGCATCTCTTCAGAAGCTCTCCCCCCCTCGTGAAAGAGCCGCCCTTCCTTGGCCGAGGGCCGTCCGGCCCTGAGCGGGCAGGAGGGCTTCAGTTCCAGGGCACAGGCAGGGGAGGGGAAGGGGCGCCCCCCCCGCCCAGCGTCCGGGCCTGTTGGGGCCATTCCTGCTTCAGGAGAGGCAGCCCCTTTGATCCACCAGGAAGCTCGGTTTGACACACACACATACACACACACACACACTCCCTCTGGGGCCGGGTCAGGGTGAGGCCTCTGCCGCCAGGGCTAAGCGAAGGAAGGCACCAGCACCCCACACCCCCCGCCTGGCTGCTCCAGCAGGCAAGAGGGTTTGCCTCAAATGCCACCTCCACCACCATCATCTGCACACACACACACACACACCAGCAACCCAGGCTGCACTCGGTCACTGGCAGCGGGCAGGACAGCGCTCCTCAGCCGCTCCCTGTCAAGGGACCATGCCACCCCCACCCCCATCGTGACCACCAGGCTGGTAACCGGACTCTTCTCTCTCTCCCTCCCTCCCTCCCCGCGCGGCCTGCGGCTGGCCACAGTGCATGGCGGGAAAGGGATACGGTTGACGGCCCACGAGAATGTCCGTCCCGAGAAGGGTAGGTCGCCGGAGGCCAATGTTCCCTGGCCAACATTGGGCAGCCGCAAACGTGGTGTGCTTTCGGAGCCCCTCCACCTTCCTGTGCCCCCCCGGCCCCTCCCTTCCCCTTCCTGGAACTTCCTGGCTCCTGTAGAGGCGGATAGTGTGGCTTGTGGACGGTGTCGTCGTTCCTCCTCCCCCCACCCCCACCCACCCCGGCTGCGGGAGTTGAGCTGCTGGTCCTGCTGCTCGGAGGACTCAGCCTCTTGGGGTGGCCGAGACGGCGGCCTCATAAAGGGAGGGGGGGCTGGGGAGCCTTCTCTGCAGCTGTTTTTGGAGAATCTGTCCTGTTGCCCCTGACACTCACTGACCACAGGGTTTAAGCAGGAGCCCAGGAGGAGGATGGGTCAGGCCAGCGGCCGATAAGTTTGGCCGGAGGGGAAGGAAGGAAGAAAGGAGTCCATAATGGATGGATGGAAGGAACGAACGAACCAACGAACAAACGAACGAGTGGATGGATGGAAGGAATGAACGAACCAACGAACAAACGAACGAGCTCATAATGGAAGGAAGGAAGGAGCTAAAGAAGGAAGGAAGGAAGAAGGGAGGAAGGGAAGGAAGGAAGGAGCCCATAAAGGAAGGAAGGAAGGCGATGGGGAAGGGTGGAGCCTCTGGAGGAGGGTAGGAGGCGACCCTGGGCGTGCTCACCCTGTGGAGCAGGAGAGAGGGCTGGCCTTGTTCTGCAGAGAAATCCGGCACACGGAGCAGCAGCAAAGGCCTCGTGGGGTGAGGGTGGGGGTGGGGGGAAAGGGTCTTGGGACGTCCGGAGAGGCCGGCCATGGTTTGTGTGGGAGGGCAAAGGTTCTCTTTGTGGGTCTTTCTCCCCCCCCCCAGGCTCAGGAGTGGACGACCCGGTGGGCGAAGTGTCCATTCAGATCGACCTCTACACGCACCCGGGCACTGGGGAGCACAAGGTCACCGTGAAAGGTAACAAAAGTCAAGCGTCCCTTGGGAGGCGCAGAGAAACGGGGTCTCAGCCCCTGCGCTGGGCCACCCCGGGGACCCCTCAGCGCCGCCTTGCTTGTCCGCTGCATCCTCAGGGAACGGGTTGCTCAAAGACAGCCGGGCCGTGACGTTGGGAGCTGAGCTCATGCCCTGTGCTGCCACCTCCCCTCCCTCCCCCAAGGGGCAAGAGGGCCCACTGCCCTGTCTGGCAGCTCGGAAATTCCTCCTCGGGACGGCCGGTGGCTTGTGTGGGTGCTTCTGTTTCAAAGCCTCACGCTGATACTCGGAAGTCGGCTTCTCCTGCCGTGCGGTCCCTGTGAGGCATCCTGAGATGCTCTGGATCACTTGCGCAGGTCATGTCCCCACGCGCAGGGCTGGGGACGTGACCCGCGGGGCGAGAGGGAGGGAGCTGTCTCTCGGCACCGATGGAGGGGCTTCCTCGCAGCTGTTCTCAGAGGCAGCACAAGGAGGGCTGTTGTGTGCTCCAGCTGGCTGTCCTTTTGCATGTGGGGCAAAGGCAGCGAGAGCCACTCGGGGGTCGGGGGGGGCACTGCGAAGCGGCAGGATCGCTCTCTCTCTCGGGCCTGGGATTTCAGACCTCCCTCCTCTTTGTCACACGCAGTCGTGGCTGCCAACGACCTGAGGTGGCAAGCGTCCGGCATGTTCCGCCCCTTTGTGGAGGTCACCATGATTGGACCGCAGATGAGTGACAAGAAGCGGAAATTCACCACCAAGTCCAAGAACAACAACTGGTCCCCCAAGTACAACGAGACCTTCCACTTGTAAGTTCCCCCACTGTGCCCTAGCCAGGGCCACTGGCCGGCCGCCTCCCTCCTCCGTGGCCCAGGCGGTCTGGTGGGCGCGACGGCCACCCCTGCTTCAGCTCTGCTCCCTCCCTCGGGCCCCCTTGGCCTTTAAGCACGCAGAGGACTCCCCAGACACACACACACACACAGACACACACAAGGACTCCCCAGACACACACACACACACAGACACACACACACACACATGGTAATGGCAGGATGGATCTCTTGGGCCCGGGATTTCAGACCTATCTCCTCTCTTGTTTCAAACAAAGCAGCTTTCCGGGAGAGAGGGAGGACGCAGACCCCCTTTCCTTGGGAGCCCTGGCGCCCTTCGCCCTCCTTCACAAAGCAGCTTTCCGGGAGAGAGGGAGGACGCAGACCCCCTTTCCTTGGGAGCCCTGGCGCCCTTCGCCCTCCTTCACAAAGCAGCTTTCCGGGAGAGAGGGAGGACGCAGACCCCCTTTCCTTGGGAGCCCTGGCGCCCTTCGCCCTCCTTCACAAAGCAGCTTTCCGGGAGAGAGGGAGGACGCAGACCCCCTTTCCTTGGGAGCCCTGGCGCCCTTCGCCCTCCTTCACAAAGCAGCTTTCCGGGAGAGAGGGAGGACGCAGACCCCCTTTCCTTGGGAGCCCTGGCGCCCTTCGCCCTCCTTCACAAAGCAGCTTTCCGGGAGAGAGGGAGGACGCAGACCCCCTTTCCTTGGGAGCCCTGGCCCCCTTCGCCCTCCTTCAGGAAGCGGGAGGAGTTCGCCCGCAGGCCCTTCTCCATCTGCCCAAAGAGTTCCCTGGTATATGCCTGTGGGTTCCCTCCCTTCCACCAACCGGGGCGGCTCGTTCTTCTCCTCCTCGCTCTCAGCCTCTTTCTTCTTCCCGGCAGTATCCTCGGAAACGAAGACGGCCCCGATGCCTACGAGCTGCAGGTGTGCGTGAAGGACTACTGCTTTGCCCGCGAGGACCGGGTGCTGGGCATCGCCGTGATGCAGCTGAGGGACGTGGCGGACAAAGGGAGCTGCGCCTGCTGGTGCCCGCTGGGGCGCCGGGTCCACATGGACGACACGGGACTCACCATCCTGAGGATTCTGTCTCAAAGGACCAACGATGAGGTGGCCAAGGAGTTTGTCAAGTTGAAGTCAGAGTCTCGCTCCACCGAGGAAGGGAGCTGAGCCCTGCGTGTCCGCGCTCAACAACGGGGCGTTGTGCCCATCCAGGCCAAGGGTGCGAGCGTGGGCTCCCTGGCGTCCCAGCGGGAGCGCCCCATCCCAGCCGGCCCCCGGTGGTCCAGTGGGGAGCTCCGCGGCTGGTCTTCAGGAGGGTGGACTGCCCGTGAGCACTGAAGCGGGCAAGGGCACAGACTGGGGGTGGGCAGGGGACCTGGGGTGGGGCCGCGTGCCTCGGCCGTGCAGGGGTCTCCCCGGAGCCAGGGAGTGCTCTAGAGAGGGTCAGGGGCATGTGGTTCTCACGAGGTGGCAGGCAGGCAGGCAGGCAGGCAGGCATTGAGAAGCGGAGCAGGGCCGTCCTGCTGCTGGCCGGAACGGTGGGGCTCGCCTGGGAGGCCAGAGACGACGTCCCGCCAGAGGAGAAGAGCGTCGATCCACCTGGGCTGCAGTCTGTGCCAGGACGGGCCCCGGTTTGTGCGCCTAAAAGATTTGGGACTCTTGCCATGGCGGGGCAGGGGGTCGGTTCAGGGCTGGCTGCCCCAGCACTTTCTGAAAGGAGCTGTGAATGAAAGCGGAACCCGCTCTCTCTCTCGCCCCCCGCGGCCCCTTCACAACAAGCACAACCTTGACCAAAAAATCCTCTCTTGCCGCCTCTGCCTGGTCCTTGCCAAGGGCCGCCCCCTTCCCTCTCCTGCTCTGTGCGTCCTCCTGGTCTCTGTTGTTTCTGGAGCGACTCCTTTCTCTCCCTTCTTCTCCCCTCCCCCTCCCCTCCCCGTTCGAGGGCTGGGGGTGGCGGTGGTTCGGCCAGGTCAGGGGAAGGTTTGCCTAATGGGACCACTCAGTGCCGCCGCCACCGCCACCACCTGCCCGGTTGTGCTGGGTTGCAGGAGAGAGTCCGGCCGCTGGACCTCTGCTTGGTGGCTGAGCTGGATGGCTGGGTCCCCACCCGTCACGTCCTGTGAGGCTCAGGAAGTGTCCAGGGACTGCATGTGGGGGCTGGCGATCTGTTTGTAGGGGTGGGAGGGGTCGTTTTTCTATTGTTCTCTTGGCACTTGTACAGCCGTATGATAAGAACCTTGTGCTTCATCCGAGCCTGCTTGTAGAAGCTGCCTAGCTGTCGTCCGTGGAGGTCACATCCAAGATGTTCTGTGGGTCATCAGGACCTTCCTGTTGCAGTTTTTAACCCCTGTTCCATGTGCCGCTGTTGCAGGAAGCAGTCAGCGTAGCCTTTAATAAAGGGTCTTTTAGCAGCATCTTCTGCCTCTCGTCTCTTCCTGGGTGCACCTTCTGGCACATCTAAGCAAACAGGGCGGCAGCGGGGGGGGGAGAGGAGGAGGAGGAGGCTGGTGGCCTCATCCAGACTCTCTCTCTCTCTCTCTCTCTCTGACCTTTCTACATTCCTGTGACCGGATGCCCTCCTGCCAGGGGCACCATCTCACCCTCGCCCTTCCCTGTCTTGCCTGTAGGGTTTTTCTCCGGGGACTCTTTGTTGCATGAGCAGCGAATGACCGACTCCCCGCTCTCAGCAGCGACAGCCGAGGGAGCTTCCGGAATCACTTCTTGGCTGGTCCTGAGCCGGTTTTAGTGACACTGCTGGGTGGTTTCTTTCTTTATTCACGGCGGGCACACCACCCTATGATTCATAAAGCTGATGGATAGTTTTTGCCCAGTAACAGCTGCATTCGAGAGCAGGTGAGCCGGCGAGCGCCCCGTCGTGCGTGACCCCCGTTGAAGGGGCACCGAGGAGGCTGACGGGGTGTGTGAGGCTGACCTCTTCGTCTCCCCGCTCGCAAAGGCCCCTCTTCTTCAGGTTCTGCCAGCTCCGGTCCGTAGCCTAGGAAGTGACTTCTGAGTGGCCCAGTTGCTTTTGTGACCTGGGGTGAGAGGGCACAATACTTCCCTGGGCTTTCCATCCCTTTTAAGAGGTTTGTTGTTTTCTTCTTTTTCCACTTCATACTCCTGGCATCCTCTGCTGCTGTTCCTTTCAGGGTCCCCGGAGGTTCTGAGAGCACTGTTCCTTTACTCTGGGAGGTGCGGAGGGTAAGCCCAAGAGTGGATCTGCATGGGATCCCGCTGCCACCCTGTGTGTGAACGAGGCGGGACGGTCGGTCCCATGTCCGTCCTGCTGAAGCCTTTTGTGCAGAGATTTCCTGCTGCTGTGTTGGGTTTCCTTGCCAGCTCCTGTTGGCAGTGAGGAGGGAGGAAACTGCTGGCCCTCCGGGTGGGAGAGGGCAGGGCCCTGCAGCTAATTTTAAACCTCTTACCAGCGGCTCCCCGCTTCTTGCAAGCGCCTCGTTCACAAAAGGAATTAGATCCCTCTGTGAAGGGTGAACAAGGAGTAAGCTCTCCAAAGGTGGAAAGATGTGGGTGGAACCCATTTAGAAAAGGGATTCCATGGGACGGTCGCTCTTGATGTTTTCTGGGAGTAGAAGACGTGCGCCAACAGCTGGGAAGTGGGAGGGCGAGTTGGGATTAAAGGTGCTTGTGGGATGCCCCCCCGCCCTGCCCTGCCCCACAAGACAAGAGCTGCAAGGCAGCCATCCTCCTCCCCACCCCAAAGAACTAACCCTTGTGCGAGGATGGGCAGCACTGGCGGGAACGGAGCCAGATTTCCCCCTTCAGCACCGCCACTTCTCCAAAGGCTCTCCCTCCCTCCTTCCTAGGGATCATGGGGGATGAAGGCTCAAAGGCAGCCTCGAGTGGGTTGCAATTGCCCACCCACGTGCCCTGAAACCCAGGAGCTGTTAAAAGCCCCCTGTGAAACCTGCAGGTCCCCCTCTGATTCTTCCATGCGTCTTTGGCTTTCTGCTTGCTGAGGTTTCTTGCCCGCATCACCTGACAAGCTTGGGGAAAGTTACAAGCTCAAAATGCCATCCATCTGCCGAATAAAGGTTGAGAGGAGATGCCAGCAGCCAGTGCTTGAGTAGCAAAGAGCCCTCCCCCCCCCGTGGCCTGTCCTGTTCCTGGGAGGGCACCTGCGTGGGAGAAGAAGCCTCGCGAGCCAAGCGAGGCGTGTCCAAAATCCAAACCCAGGAACAGTCCTGGGTCCTGCTGGCCCAACGATAAGCAGCAAACAGGGAGTTTCCAAGCGGCGAAGTCCAGGGTGCCCAGTCGAGGTCGTGACGCGGCTGGGAGTCACACCGGGAGCCAGGATTCGAGGGATGCTTTTCAGGCAGGAGGCGGCGCTCAGGAGGGACGTCGTTCCCAACCATCGTGCGGTCCAAAAGCCGAGGCTTGTGGTGCAGGGGAGAGGCTGGGGCCCCACTCAGCACTCCGCTGCAGGTGCTCGGTCTCCCTGGGAGGAAGTGCTTCCCCTCAAGGGAGCCAAGAGTCCTCCCTTGCATTTGGGCACTTCACCTGGGGTGGGTGGGGGCCCCAAGCCCCCCTCCCTTGTGCCTTAAGTAAGTCCTGTGCCTTTTGCATGGCCTAAGGAGGGCCTCCTCTTCTTCCTCTGCAGCAAAGGTGCTTCTACTTCAAGTTGCATCCTTCTCACCCCAGATGGTTCAAGATCTGCAAGCCAGTCCAAGCCCCCCCCCAGGACAAACACACACACATCCACATCTGCTGGTTCTTCTTCATGGCCTCTGTGAATGCACACAATTGGGTTGCTATGTGCCTGCACAGGACCACTCGGAAGTTTATAGAGCTTAAAGACTTGATTTTAGTGGGACGTTCCCCCGTGGAGCGCATGCTCCCCCCGCCAGAAGCCCCCTCAGTTCCTTTTAGCCACCACTTAGGTTAGACCTATTTTGGAGAGAGCTGGAGCAATTGAGCGTTTGCTGCGATCGGTAGTTGCTTCTGTTATTTCAATCACCTTTTTGTTGAACGTTTCCCCTCTAAATTGATTTGTTCTACCTTTGATTCGATTCAGTTTCTTTTCGCTTTCCCCTGTTTTTGCCGATTCCCCCCCTTTCCCCCATCTTCTCTCCAATTTTCCCTTGTCTTCCCCGGCCTTTCAAGCGGTGCATACTTTGTAATAACAAGATCCCGCTCACTGACAGCCACAGCTGTTGCCTTTTCTGTCTCAGGGAACAGCACCAAACGCACTCTTCTCCTGAGTGTAAAAGGCTCACGAAGCCTGCACTTAAGCTGCGACTTCAGAAGCTGCAATCTTACCTTTGGGAGGAATCCCTCAATCCTCCTTTGGTCGCCATGGGCTTTGCACTGTCCCCAGATCATCGACCTGATCACCAAGAGCCTCCTAGATCGGTCTCTAGTCCAATGACTCCTTCTCCTCACCAAGCGGAGAAGTCGAAGTCTACCTCGAGACTGAAGTCGACATTGAGCTCCATCAACTGAATCATCTAAAAAGAAAAAAAGATAAGACTACTTCTAAAAAAGCCTAAGAAATCATCCACAAATACAAGCACCCCAATGGACACTTCCATCCCCAATTTTGGAGGAAAGGTCTAGAGACACCTCGGGATCGATGCCAGACAGAGATGAACCACCTCTGCCTCCGGCTCCAGGCTCCTGCTTCCACTGGTAGCTTGTTGCCAAGTATTGACCTCTTTCCGGCTGACGTTCACTCCAGCCAGGCCTCGGCCCATTCCAGCCCTGCGTCATCAGGGCGGGCAATTCCGATTCAAATCTCGGGCTCAGACTCATCTCATCACTCCCCTCGAAAACATCGGACAAAGAGACGACACTTATCACCAGGGCAGTATGACCCTACACACAGAGATTACTATCACTACCCAGAATCTTCTCGGTATCAACCACAAGAAGATCTCAGAGATCAATAATACCAACAATATGATCCGTATTTCCCCCAAAGACTTACTGGAACAAATTTACACACCGAACTCAAGAGGGTCCGATATCCTTTGCCGTATCCACCTCGATACTCACCTTCTGGGTCTCCATCACGACCTCGATGCTGACACCGTTCCCATTCATCGCACTCGACATCGACTCACCAGATCCCGCTTGCTACCAAGCCGGCCCTCAAGCGCACAACGTCATCATTGGAACAACCAGAATCTAAGCGTTCCAAGCATTCTTCTAAACATCCTCCCCCCTCAAAACACATCTCTATATGTTACGACCACCTATAAGGGTCCTCGTCCTCCTGATACGGAAGGTTACTCTACAACCCAAGTACCTCCTGCTTCGCAACAGCCTTCTTCAACACAATTCTCCACATCAAAATCTCCACATCAATCTCCATGCTCTGAATCGTCCATATCGACCCAGGATGCGGCCTCTGATATTTCTCCAGAATCACCATCCAATTTACCCACTCCAACATCTGATGTAGCAGAAAGTCATCCCCCCTCACCTTCAGAAGATTTTACCTCGTATTCCCAGCTAGTGATGAGGATGGCTAAGTCTCTACAATTAGAAATCGAGGAACCACCACCTCCTAAACAAGACTTAGTTCTTCTTCGTGGTCTCTGTGAAATCACACTAATGGGTTAATCTGCGCTTGCGCAGAAGGCCTCGGAACATTCTAGAGCTTAAAGTAACACTTTTGGCTCCACCCCCAGGACCTCATGGTCCGCCCGCCCTAACAGCCATTCAGTTAGGTCTCCTAGCTAGAGCTCCGTGAAATATTGGAAAGATTTGGAAGATTCCTAGATTTGGCTCCGTTATTTCTTTCATCAAGGGAAGTACTTACTTTATCTCATTATTAGGGGAGTTTCTGGACTGTGTTTGAGGGGTTTCCCTCTCTCCCCTACCTTTCCCCCCTTATTTTCTTGGACTGTTCTTTTCCCGCCTTTTTTCTTTTATGGCCTCCAAGGCACCTTCTTCACCGAAAGTTACTTTTAAAAGCTGTGCCGCCTGTTCTAAAAAGATCCCTTCTACAGACGGCCATCGTTATTGTTTATTTTGTCTTGGGGAGTCACACATCCCTCAGACTTGTCGCCACTGCGAACGTTTTACCCGGCAAGGCCTGAGACTTAGAGAGCAGCGTCTTCGGGCAGCGCTTTGGGAAAAATCCCTTACCGCACCTGCTATGGCGGCTACCTCTGCGCCTGCAGATTCGGGTCCTGCATCCGGCCCTAAGACTAGGGCCAATGGCAAGCCGACTACGTCTACCAAGAAGGCTTCTAAAAAACCCAAGCCTCCTAAGAGTCAGGCCACGGTCGCCATTCCTCCCCCGCCCTCTCCTGCGGCCACACCTCAACTCCAACCGTCGCCCTCCCTGCCTGCTCTTACTCCGCAATCTCCTAGTGAGATCCCGTCCCAGGCCTCGTCGGCAGCTTCTTCTCCACCATCTTTACTACCGCCGGTCGATACGCCGGACATA